GAATATTAGCAGATTTAGATCGGTTGAAGCTTGAACTGAAATCAGTTTAAGTTCGAATTCGAACTCGAAGATGATGAGTAAGTACATAAAATCTTATATTTTATTTTTTAAGAAAAAAATATAAATGTTAAATTATTATTAATTTAATTTAAAAAATAAAAAATTTAATATATTATCTTTTCAAGTTGCTCCTTATCTTTTCGACTAAGGAATCAAGTAGCTTATTTCGTCTCGTTAAAAACTCGAGTCTAGTCCATTCGATTTGAGTGTTGACCGAGTTTTAACCAAGTCGAACTCGAGTAACTCACAATATGAGTCTCATTTACAGCCTTCTTATTTGTCTAATGCTTTACTTGGTTACTGCCATATCCTTGTATAAAAATTCAAACGTTTAGTTTGCATTTTTCCCTAGGAAAGCAATCAGGGTTGTGTCTTAAGAGAACGTGTGAATGATTTTACATGTCATTGTAGTTATGCTTCTCATGTTTTTCTTGTGTTCATTTGTAATTTTTTCACATGTCTTTCTTCAGGGGTAAATATCCCTTTGGGGATTACATTTTGTATTCCAATCTCACCTTTACATTGAGAGAAGTTAAGCATTTATGGAGACAAAATGGTTGTGTAAAAAAGTATGGAAGGCATCTTGTGATGAGGATCGATGATTTTGAGAAGCCGACGAAAACAAATGCCCTCTGTGGCAATTGGAGGAAGTGGCGCCAGCCTATCGTCTGGTAGAGTGTCAACTCTGTTGATAGAAATTGTGCTAGTTTTCTTGAATTTATGGATGTATCACTATAATATTTCAGGTATCAAGGCACCGAAGATGCTGTTGCGGCCCAGTTTTTCGTGAAGAACATACATCCTTAGATGAGGAATGCGGCTTCCGAGTTATTCGGAAACCCAGAATCTCTTCATTCACGGCCTAATGAATTTGGAGAAATAACGAGAATACTCATTTCACCTTCAAGAGATGTTGAGGAAGCAGTAAATTGGGTTATTGGTGGTGGTAGGAACCCTGATATTACATTGCACATGCGGATGCTTATGAATAGGTAATTGGAGAAAAACAATTCCAGTTTTATTGTATGCATTGGCTGCCAATTCTTTGATGAGAAGTTTTTAAAAATATTTGAACCACCTAAATCCGAAAAACTGAATATCCATGTTGTTTAAAGACTCGGCATTCTTGAAGAGATAATTTTCTGAAAGGAAACTCAACTGATTAGTGTTGCTGGTGCTTGTGTTCCATGTTTCAGGTCGGTGAGAGCTGCACAGGCTGCATTGAACTGCCTCAAAAGAGAGACACGCAACTTACGGCAAGGGTCAAGACCCAGGGTGGTTGTAATATCTGATACCCCCTCTTTTGTAAGAGGCATTGCACCAAATATAAGTGAAGTTGCCGAGGTAACAAAATTGGTCACCCCCCAAACACACACACACGCACCTCAAAAAGGGAAGAAATCGATTTTAATGATAAATATCCTTCATATTTCAGTATATAGGTAGATATACTAATGTATTTGCAATTTTTTGTCTCAGGTTCTTCATTTTGATTATGGACGTTTCAGAGGCAATGTTTCTCGTGATATTAAAGCATCACCAAGTTTGGATTTTAGAGTGAAAGATTGGGGACCGGCACCTAGGTGGGTTGCTTTTGTCGACTTCTTTCTTGCATCTCGTGCAAGGCACGCAGTTGTTTCGGGGGCTCACAGACGTGTCGGGACTACCTATGCTCAGTTAATTGCTGCATTAGCTGCGGCTAACAGTATAGATAACGCTGCTCCCCGCATTCCTGGCTTGTTTAGCTGGATCATATCTTATACTCATTTGTGATGCAGTATGATCTTATAGTTGCTTGGTCTTTACAGGGGAAAATTCTACAACTTCGAGGTTTTCTTTCCTAAGCAGCTTCCAGGGTAACTTGTTGGCGGAAGGTTTGAAGCTTCAGGTGGGGTGGGGACATGTATGGAACCGATTTGCTGGACCGTTGAGTTGTCGGGGGCAGCGGAATCAGTGTGCTTTCACAACACTTCTTCCTCCTGCTTGGTGGGAGGGCCAGTGGCAATCTCCGATTCCGCGTGATATTCATAGGTTGGAACAATACGGTATCCAGCTCTCTGGCTTGGGAACAACAGACGAGAATCAGATTCGTGCCTTTTGCAGTTCTAGGAAAAACATTGTGAAAACTGTTTCGTTCATATAGAATAGATGTAATCGGTGAAGCTGCAATTCTTTTTTATACATTATGACCCTTCTCATCTATGAAAGTTATGCCTTCATGTGTCTCCAAAGTATCTTTAACTTGTCGTGTTAACTGTTGATTAATAAATTAAATCGTAGGCCAAGAAGTTGCAATTATGTTTAGAGATTTAAATCACTGTTGTGGTCGTATTTTTGTTTAGAGATTTAAATCACGGTTGCAGTCATATTTTTGGTTGCGTAATATTTGTAAAAATGTTGGGATAGAACATAAAAGTTCCGTTGTCGTCGGATGTCTGCACTTGTCTTGCCTTTTGGATGGTGGAAAAATGCAGCTGCTGGACTCAAAGTCCAGAGTGCTAACCACTACACCATGGAACGCTATATTATTTAATTAAATGTAAAACATTTGACAGTTGATTTTTCACAGCGTAAACATCTTCAATTTATTCAACAATATTGCTTAATTTACCTATTGCAATAGGGATGAATGTTCGATCAAATCTAATCAATTAATCAAGTTAATGAGTATTATTTTATAAATTAAAATTTAGGGTGAATTATACATTTAGCTCCTAAACTATTACTTTTGTTCTATTTTAGAATCTAAAATTTATTTTGTTTCAGAACCATATCTAATGTTTAGCTTAGATTTCAATTTGCTACCGCCATTAAAATATTTGCTGATGTGGCATTTAAAAAAATTAATGTTGACATGGTATTATCTTATGGTGACACATCAACGTCACCGTTAAATTTTTAACGGTGGATACCAAAACGAAACTTAAACAAAATATTATGTATGATTTTGAAATAAAATAAATTTTGAGTATCAAAACATAGTACAATTAATATTTTAAATACTAAACGTGTAGTTTATCCTATTTAATTGAATTTTTTCTAGTAAAATTAATTGAATTTTTGTTTAAATTTAATTTATAAATATTTATTATGTTATAATATTAATTGATATTTGATTGTGCACCGCATAAACATCTTACATTGCTTTAGTTAGATTTTACTATTAGAAGCGACTATTAAAAAAATTACATAAATATATTTGGTTCAAGTGATAAATAGTTTTACATCGTTTAAGTATCTTGGGCTCAAGGCTTTGTGAATGAAAATAATTTTCGTTGGGAGACTTACCTACCAAAGCTAGGTATATGACACGGGTGAGTTCAAATTAGTCAGGGTAAAACTCTGGGAAACCGAGAGGGAAAAATACTATTAGGAGCGAACAAAACTCGATGCAACATTAAAATGTTTGACTTGATTTGATTTGTAATTTCATAAACATGATTCGAAATTTTTTAAATAAAGTTTAAATTATAAAATATGATTCGAATAACTTAAAAGTTTTAATAATTAATAAAATGATTTTAATGTTCGATTCGAGTATGTCAACTCTACATAATACATGTATATTGCATATAAAAATATAAAGATATATATCGTAATTGGTTTTAAAAAGTCGTTAAATTATAATCAATTAATACTATAACATTATAAATATTTAAAATTAAATCTAAATATAAACTTAAACAATTCAAATCAATTTAAATCAACCTAAAAAATTTAAATAAAATTTAAATTATAAATAATAACTCAACTAATTTAAAACTTTTTAATTCAACTTAACTTAATCAAATAATCAATCGTATTTACCGTTACAAAAATGAAAAATCATTGAAATTGATCATCAGCTTTGCTTTCATGAGAAAGATAATATTGAAGTAGAGACTTTTACTTTCGCATATTCCAATGTTTTCTTATTTATTATTCAATGCTATGAATTTCACGGAGGGAGGAGGGTGCAATCATGAACAGTCCTTCCCCCAATTTACTAATCGTATTTTATCAATTAATTATCAATATTATTTTTAAGGGTAAAGTACACGAATAGTCCCCGACTATAGCATAGTATTTTGTTAAGTCATCATATTATTAAAAGTTACAAAATAGTCCCCCGATTATAATGTATTATTTTGTGAGTCTCTCAACTATTAATAGTTATAAAATGATCATCTGACTATCTAGTATGTTCCAAACTAGTTTTTTTATTAAAAAATTAACGGTCTTCTAAGCTAGACATTACATGTTGACTGAGATATTATAGTCGTTTGAGATTATGATGTCAGATTTTATCATATCTCAATCAATAAGTTAACGTCCAACTTAGAGTACCATTAATTTTTTAACGAAAAATGACGAGTTTGGAACATAATGAATAGTAAGGTGGCTATTTTGTAACTTTTAATAGTCGAGGGACTCAACAAAGCAAACTCTATTGTGGGAAGATCATTTTATAACTTTTAATAGTTGAGCATTCAATAAAACAGAATGTTATAGTCAGAGGATCATCTGTGTACTTTACCTTTTTTAATGAAAATTTTGATAAGATAATATGGTAAAAAATTAGTTTGTACGAAATTTTAGAGAAATTATTTCCTCAATTAGGATAAAATAAACATTAGACGAGGAAGATAACCGGATCACTTAACGTTTTTAAGATGTCTAAAAAGATGACATCTTTCTTAAACTTCATGTAGTATGAACATAAACCCTAATAGCATAACGTCAAATTTAGTAATATATCAACTGAAAAGAGTCGAATTTATTTTATAATTTTTCAAAGACGTTAAGTGATTTAAATATCTTTCTTTAATATGGTTCATTTCATCTTAATTGAAAAAATAATTTCTCTTAAATCCTATATAAACTATTATGAAGTTTTGTTTGCTAGTGAAGAAAATAATTTGTGATTTTTACTTGAAATTATTAGTTCGGTAAAGAAATTTCAGCAAAAGAAAAAGAAACCCACAAAATACCCCAACCACTGTCCCTTTTCCTCCACTTTGTTCGAAAAAGCTCATGCCTTGTCGCCGATTCCTCCACCACTCGCCCTTACTCGTTAACCACCCCTGCCTTGACTCAGTACGACCATGGGTTTCCATTTCCATGCTTAAAAGCTCCTTCCTTTCTTCTTATTTTTCTCAAATATCATCTGTTACAGTAAAATTTTGTTGTTATTCTGAGAGTTAAAAAGAGAGATGTATGTGGTGCCGCCACCCCAGCGACAGGATCCGGGTTCCATCGGCGGCGGGTCGAGTGATTTACGGGTTTACCAAGCTTGGAAAGGCAGCAATGTAAGCTTTTCTTGTTTTTTTTCTTTCCCCATTTTTTAGCCTTCGAAATCCCTCATTTCTCACTTTCTATCCTATTCATGTAGTAATTTTCATTACCAGTAATGGTTTAAAAGACGACATTTTCCTCCGTGAATTTTGCAAGGCATTGAACTTGTTGATTTCTTTTTCATTGTTTGCAGAAATTTTTATTTCAAGGGAGGTTTATATTTGGACCAGATGTAAGATCATTAGGGCTGACTATTTTACTTACAGTAGCTCCAGTCTCCATTTTCTGTGTATTTGTTGCCACCAAATTGATGGATGATTATTCTCATCACTGGGGTATTTCCATCATGGCTGTTGCTGTTATCTTCACTGTTTATGTAAGTCTTGACGCAATTTCCATGCTTGAATGGTTGTTACATTTGAAAAACTTCTTATTACATGTTAGAAAGATTATGGTACTATGGTGAGTCCTACTGAGTTGGGAGTTCTAGGAGTGATGAACTGTGAATTTTCTTTCCTTTCACATTTCTCCCCTCCCATTAAGTGTTAGTTCATGATGTTTACCATTGTTAAGACTGGTGATAGACTCCCTTTTTTTGTTGGCTAAGGTATATAGACTCGAATGTGTAATTTTCTATGATCATAGCTTATAAGATCTCTTTTCTTCCCTTTGCTGTAACACCCCAACCCGTACCCGGGGTTCGGGTACGAGTCCGAGGTCACATTGACCAGTCAAAGCATATACTTTTATAAAAATCATAGAAAATTTAAAACTTCTATTCTATAAAGTAATTCTTTTACATAAACCTGTTTAAAAACTTAACAGACTCTATCAGAGCGTTCATATACATAATGACTTAGTTACATGCTAACATACTAAATTATATGACGAGATACTTTACAAAATATTTCTGATCTGAACTTTGCGCGGAGATATGTTGCTTTACGGATCCGAAGCTTGATCTTCTGACTTATCCACACCTACGTGTAAGACACTTACACGCTAAGTCATAGACTTAGTGAGACATGTAAATATATAAAGTAAACTAACAAATGCATGAACATCTTATGCAATACACATCATACTTATACACCTATTGAACTCATCACTAACATGTTTATCCTTACTTATTTCCTTGTCATTAATTCCATTCCATTATATGAGCATATATTGAACATAAACATATAATATAACTTCAAAACACAACAATGCATGAATAATTACTATGATCATATCATACATAAACATATAACATCCATATCACCATTACACATATGCACTTGTTACCATTACTATCATATGATCCTAACTTATTACTTATACATATCACATATATCATTTCACGAGAAACACATATATCATTATATCAAATTATGTTTCTTTTCAAAGCACATGCACACTATTGAGAACTTAAGGTATGTGAGTACATAGAGGTTGTGCACAATGCTGTCATCACAGCTCGTATAAATCCCACTAGGGGCGCGTAGAATTTGTCCCGTAGGACCACTGTGTCCTGAAGGACCACTATGTCCCGAAGACCATGTAGACCCTCGACTCTTGGCATGCCAATTATACCTATAGCTTTCGTATTATATAACATGGGCATTATTATTCATCTTTTTACATATTCACGTAGGCATAGTTCACTTTCACATAACATATTTCCATGTAATTCACATTCACTTATCACATAGCTTTTCACTTTTTCTTGTATGCCTTTTCACATAGTTCATAGCCATGATTCTTATCTCACAACACATGTTCGCATATACATGTTATCATACAACCCCTTCATTCAATTATAACATCTAATCTATCTTATTATACTAACATGTATTCATATCATTCATTTCACATACATAACATATCATATAACCTTCTAATAGAGACACATATGAGTCGTATTATTTTCACATATATTTTATCATATATCTCATGATCACATGACCTATTATCATACGTACATGCATTTACATAGTTCTCACATAAAGATGCATTCGACAATTAGACATATGCATTTACATAGTTCACACATAAAGATGCATTCGACAATTAGACATATGCATTTACTCAGATACCATACATCTAACACCATATCACTACATGTTTATGCTTTAGTACTTATATCATATAATATCGGAATTAGACTCATCGCAAGTCTTAATTCCTTAACATAACGTACACTTACTATCATGTACTCACCTGGTCTCAATGAACACTCTTAAGCTCTTGTTTTCTTTGCGTATCTTACTCTGCAGACCTATCCGAACTTTGCTTTCGATCGATGTCTACACAATCATATATTTATACTATCAGTATTCCATTGATATACTATAATCTATAATTTCTTAGACTGAAAGAAAAATTTATTTCATTTCCTATTGAAGTGCATCGATACATTATACCATGTATCGATGCATCCCTTAACATATGCATCGATGCACTACCCATGCATCGGTACACCAACCACCTTCGATGTTTTCATTTTAAGGGGGTGCATCGATGCACTAATGACATTCGATGTTTATTTATTTGAGAGTGCATCGGTACACATTGAATGTGCATCGATGCACACAGTCCAAAAATTACATCTTGAGCACGAAAATGTCTTTTTTGACCCAAAATTCTACTTATTAATCCCTCCTTGTACCTTAAAACTTATCTATACATATATAAACCTTCTTATAACACTATAACACTATAACACTTTACCATCTCCCATAATCCACCATAATTCTTGAATCAAAGAATTTCATTAAATTTTCCATGTGTTCTAAATTCAATTCTATCACCTCTAACTTCTTAATTAACCCTTTGACAAGTCAAATTCATTCTTAGAACTTCAAAAACCTTTTTATAACAAAAGTTCATTTCTTAACTCTTAATATAAATTCCTTTCTAATTCTCTCTTCTTTGTGTTTTAAACTTATATAAGCTTTCCTTAAGCTTATATAACTCCCAAAGACTCAAATCCAACTTAAGAATTCAAGAAATCAACCACTAAATCAAACTTACCTTTAAAAATAGAAGCCAACGTGAAGAAGGAAGAAGAGATAAGCTTTCCAGATAACTCTCCCCATCCCCACGTGTTATCTTCCTAAATAAGGGAGATAAAAATATCATCCACTCCAAATTACCATAATACCCTTATAATCCTTTCATATTTACCTTTTTATCCAATAATGAAATATTCCTATTAAAATTCTTGAACTTTCAAATTTTCCTAAATTGATCCCAAATTTCAAAAATTCTCATTTTAGTCACTGACCCAGATTTCGGGATGTTACATTTGCCTATTCTCATGGCAGTTTAATATATCATTAAATAGAGGGATTGTGGTGTCGATCAGGATTATATTTATGAATGTTACAAGAATGTGACGGAATTCTAGCATATAAAGTAAAAAAAGATTGTGCCATTCAATGTTTTGGAAGATCCAAATGGTGTCTTACATGTACAAAACAAGAATTCCCCCTGGAGTTTACCGATTTTGTCAGGCATTTATTGGAGTTATGGAGAATCTATGTGATTTCTCTAAGACAGATCTTGAAGCTCATAAATGTTTTTGTTTCTTCTTCCAGGATTTAGTTCTTCTATTGTTAACATCCGGAAGAGATCCTGGTATCATTCCGCGCAATGCACACCCTCCCGAGCCAGAAAGTTTTGATGGAAATTCAGATGTTGGGGCTGGTCAAACTCCACAGTTACGACTGCCACGCATTAAAGAAGTGGAGGTCAATGGAATCACTGTGAAGATCAAATATTGTGACACTTGCATGCTTTATAGGCCTCCTCGCTGCTCACACTGTTCAATCTGCAATAACTGTGTAGAACGCTTTGATCACCACTGTCCTTGGGTTGGGCAATGTATTGGTCTGGTATGTCACCATTTTCTTTAGGCTGAAAGGATATGAACCCTAAACCATGGTCTTAATATCCTTGTAGGAACTTAAATTACCTTATACTTATTTGTGGCTGTAAGATTTTCATATTACAAAATGATTGAAAATTGAAATTGCTGTAAAATGTGATGTTTTTGTGCTTTTCACTTTTTGGTACTGTTAGCTCATCTCGCGATTTTTATTGTTTGCAGCGAAATTATCGGTTCTTCTTCATGTTTGTCTTCTCAACAACCCTTCTGTGTATATATGTTTTTGCATTCTGCTGGGTCTACGTTAGAAGGATCATGGAATCAGAAGAGACAACAATTTGGAGAGCAATGATTAAAACCCCAGCTTCCATTGTTTTAATAGTTTACACTTTCATCGCAATGTGGTTCGTTGGTGGTTTGAGTGCCTTCCATTTGTATCTGATCAGTACAAATCAGGCAAGATTACTTTTCCTTGGCTTTTCATAATAATGTTGCTGAGGCCGCTAATATATCGGCACCTTAGCTCATTTGTTAGATAAATGTAACAATCTGTGTTTCTTGCTTCTGCAGACAACATATGAGAATTTCAGATATCGATATGATCGTAGAGCAAACCCTTATAACAAAGGAGTGGTTGAGAACTTCAAGGAGATATTTTGCTCTATCATTCCATTATCCAAGAACAAATTCAGGGCAAAGGTGCCCAGGGAACCTGTGTTACCAACACGACCCGGTGGTTTTATGAGTCCAAATATGGGGAAGGCCGTGGATGACATAGAAATGGGTAGGAAGACAGTGTGGGGTGATATTGGTGCTGGCACCGATCATTGTGAAGGGCAACTTGTAAGTGACCGAGTAAATGTCAAGGAGGGTGAACTGGGAGAATTATCTCCAGATATTAGAACTACAGGAGACGACACAGGCGAGCGTGCTGGTATACATCCCAGGAGATCTAGTTGGGGTAGAAAAAGTGGTCGATGGGAAATGTCACCCGAGGTTCTTGCTTTGGCAGCTAGAGTGAGCGAACCGAATCGAGCTGTTGGAAGTAGCAGTAGCAACAATTTGACAACCGAAAACCGCCAAACATAACCATTATGCTGTGATATCGGATGTATTGCTAATGTTTCTATTCTTGTTTCAATCATGTGTATTATGGGGACATTTGTTTTTGGATTTGGCAGGGTGTTTAAAAAGTGTTGGTTTGACCCTTTGTGCTTTAAGGAAGAAGTGGTGTGTTGTACCTTGTACGAGAGAGAGTTCTTTTCAATTTTGACACTTTTCTTGTATTTGTTGTGGAATTAGTTAGTATCTACTAATTGTATTGAGTTTGTGGTTTTTGATTTTAGCGTCGTATAATGTGCATTTCGCCTCTATTTTCTGTACTTTTTTAGGGTTTATTTATTTGATTATTAGTTATGTTGATAGTAACATTTGAGTTGTAGCGGTTATTGACATTTCATTCTTTTGATTTGAATGAAGAGTTGTAATCATTAATTCACGGTGGTGTTATAGACGGTTTCTTAATAGTATGGTTTTATAAGATTTTGAGGTTGAAGAACATGTAGATGCAAATGATCTCGAAGACCGATCAATCTCGGTTGAGAGGTATGATAGTGTCGCGGTCGTCTTTCGGTTGGGTCCGAAATTGGGTTTCGACTTGAAATAATAGGTTAGAGTCGTCATCGATCATTTTAAAAATAAGATTTTGGGCTGATCAAACACAATCTTACTTGATCTACGTCTTACCAGAAATGTATTGGATTCGGGAGTCGGTTACAGTCAAGGAAAGATTAGCACCTTTGTACTGCCCTTTCGGTACCAATTAATTCATCAGTTGTCTTAATCGTGAAAATTAAAATTAAATTGAAATTTAAAAATTCAATTCGAATAATTACCTTTGATCGATTGAACGAAGACCCCTAAAAAGATATAAATGTTAGATTTGTAATGAAGTGCATAATCGAATTAAGATAAAATGTATAAATATGAAAATAATAAACAAAAAAATAACAAAGGAAAAATAATAAAATAAATGGAAAAAAAAAACAAAATGCTAAAATAATAATAATAAAAAAAATAAAAAAGAAACAAATATATTAATAATAAGAGGATTAAATTGAAATAAAATCAAATTTGACGGTCGATTTAAGAAGAATTCGAGGTTAAATCGAATTAAATGGACCAAAATGAAATATTAAAAAAATGGGGGATTAAAACACAATTCCCCCCTTTCTAACTCCAAAATACACGACCCTCGGTTGGGTCGGATCGAAACGCGGTCGGCCCAACGGGTTGTATAAAGCTCAATTATTTACCCTAAATCATTCATTTCTTATTCTCCTCAACGAAACAAAGAGGGAGAGAATTAAAATTCTCTCTCAGCTTCCCCTCGTCGAGGATGGTCGGTCACCGTCGACCGCCGCTGTCCGCCGCTCCGACCGCCATCGTCGACGGTCGGAAAAAAAACCACAACTCACCTACGAACTCCCCTTAACCCTGTGAACTCAAATCTAGCCACCAAATCCCCAAAATCGACCCAGAAAACCGTATATCTACAAAACTCTCTCGATTATCTTATCCTTTTCCGGTGATTTTTTCGCTTTCGATGGCTCTTCGTGGTTTTGCTCGACTGTTTTGGGTGTTGTTTTTTTGTGTTTGGTATTTTCAATGCGTTTTTGGATTTTTGTTGACGCTCTTGTTGTATGACCGTTTTTCCGACTGTTCGATCGACCATTGTGTATGAGTTCGATCTTATGTTTGGTGGCCCTTTTTGTTCTCTGGTTTCGATGTTGGCTTGTTGTGTTGATGTTATTTTGTTCGTTATTCGATGATGTTCAATCTTCCCCCTTTACTGTGTTCCCGATGGTATTTATATAGCCCCCCAACGGGCTGTTTCCGATGGCCACAGGTCTGTTTCCGGTATTTCGGACCATTTGGTCGTTCGTGTGACAGGTCATCCCAGGATGGGTCAGTCCCGAGATCTCGGCCGGCCGTTTTGCACTTGGATCTTAACTTCATTGATTTGCAGCACCTTGACTGAAAGATGAGAAACCCTAGTCCGGATTGGGCTGGGTCAGGCCCAAACCCGGTTGGGGCTTCTATTGGACTCGAATATTGGACTTGGACCACAATTAATAAAATAAATAAAATAAAATAAAATAAAATAAAATAAATAATAATAATAATAATAATAATAATCAAAAGATTTTAAAACCATATATTATATATAGTTTTAAAAAGTTTTCAAAACTATATATCATATAGTTTTCAAAATGTTTTTTAAAAACCATATAATATATTTTCAAAATGTTTTTTTAAAAAACTATATAAGTTTTCAAAATGTTTTAAAAAATATATATTATATATATTCAAAATGTTTTATAAATTATATATTATATATATGTTTTCAAAAATATATTTTTAAAACTATATAATATATATGTTTTCAAAAATGTTTTAAAAACTATATAATATATATATTTTCAAAATTGTTTTCAAAAACTATATATTATATATATTTTAAAAAAGATTTCAAAAACTATATAATATATATATTTTTGAAATGTTTTCAAACTATATAATATATATAATTATTTTCGAAAACTGTTTTTAAAAATTATATATTATATTTAAAAAACATTTTCAAAAATTATACTATATTATTATATACATAATAATAATAATAATAATAATAAAAAAAAAAAAAAAAACAAAACAAAACAAATCCAGACGAAAAATAAGTGTCTACAACATTTCCTCTTTGTCCTTTTTTCGTGTAACAAAAAAATAGGACAGATAAAAGGACACAAATTTTCGTTCAGTATAAGGGGTATTGAGTCTAATTGAATTTGATATTGCAATTAGGAATAACTCCCTGTCAAATTGAGTTGCGGATGACTTCTCCTCCGCGAAGTTGAGTCCATCTTGAAATGATATGAAATTGAAGCCGTAGTTCGGAATTTGAATCAAAATGTGGCTTTTCGTTGCCAAATTGTAGTCAACTTCGGTATTCTTATCAATTTAAAGAACTTGGTTTAAAAATTCGACTGGAAAATAGTTCCCTGACTCCATCATGTACTTGATATGTCATCGAGCTGAAGGGAATCGAACTCGAAAGTTTTCATAGACAGGAACCCTTCTCGCCTTGAGTTATGATGCACTAAGCCGAGAGATTGCCCCAGATATTCTTCTTGACTTAAAGACCTTGGCTTCAACCAGAAAATAGTTTCTCGATGTTACTCTATAGTTGATGTGTCGTCGAACTGAATGGAATCGAACTCAACAATTTTTATTTACATATAGCTTTTCTCGACTTAAGCTATGCTGTAAATCTGACATGCCTTTGAGCTGAATGGGATCGAACTCGAAGGTATTTGTTGACAGATAGCCCTTCTCGCCTTGAGCTATGCTGTAAATTTGATGTGCCTCTGAGCTGAATGTAATTGAACTCGAAGGTCTTTGCTGACAGATAACCCTTCTCGCCTTGAGTTATGCTGTAAATTTGATATGCCTTAGAGCTGAATGTAATCGAACTCGAAGGTCTTGGTTGACAGATAACCCTTCTCGCCTTGAGCTATGTTGTAAATTTGATATGCCTTTGAGCTGAATGTAATCGAACTCGAAGGTCTTTGTTGACATATAACCCTTTTCTCCTTGAGTTATGTTGTAAATTTGATATGCCTTTAAGCTGAATGGAATCGAACTAGAAGGCCTTTGTTGGTAGATAACCCTTCTCGCCTTGAGTTATTCTGCAAATTTGATATGCCTTTGAGCTGAATGGAATCGAACCCGAAGGTCTTGGTTGACAGATAGCCCTTCTCGCCTTGAGCTATGCCGCGAATAGTTTCTTCAAGTGAATGATGGCTCCCCTTCGCGGGTCTAAGCCGATCATAATTTTCTAAATGACTCCCCTTCACGGGAAAGCTAAGTGGTGCATTCTTCATGTGGTTCCCCTTCGCGGGTCTGAACCAGGTGAGATGATCTTTGAATGACTCCCCTTCACGAGAAAGCCAAGTGGTATGTTCTTCAGGTGGTTCCCCTTCGCGGGTCTGAACCAGGTGAGATAATATTTGGATGACTACCCTTCACGGGAAAGCCATGTGGGATATTCTTCGAGTGACTCCTCTTTGAGAAAGACAAGTGAGGTAGTTTGTTAGTTGAAATATGGCATGAAAAGTTTAACTGGAAAATAGCCACTCATCGTTGAGTTAAGCTGAACTGGATCCATTCTGAATTGGATCTCGAACCCGTCTAAGTTGATTGTCGATCTTACAGTATGTCAAGTTGGTTGAGGTGTAGCTTCTCGTTGCTGAGTTAAGCAACCACCATCGATCTTTAAAGGTGCTTTTGAATCGAGTATCTTCCGTCTTGAAGTTGAAACTTGACTCTAAAAGCTGCAAAAAATTATGTATGTGAAAAATGATAAATGTGATGCTCTTAAGTATGTGTAAGATGCATGCAACATGAATTAGTTCTTGTTTTGTCTCTTGGATGAAGCCTCATTTTTGTCTACTGGAATGGTCCTTGGAATCGATCATGCCCCATTTTTTTCTCGGGTTTCAGCTTCACGACTCTTCACATATGAGAATTTCCTGTTTGAAAATGTTTTTCTCTTTTCTCTTATTTTAGGAAAAAATATAAGGATATAAGAATTTTGTAAAACATTGCCCCTTAATTCAGGCTCACAATCGAATCAAATCATAAACATGAGTTCGCAGAAAATTAAAAGAATCAATAGCTCTTTCATGCTTTCAGAGTTATAGCTCTTTGACAAATATTCAAAGTTGATGTGTTGGTTTTAGGTTGGCTTCCTATTTTCTAAGGTTTCAGCCACACAAAAAATGTCATTTTTTTAACATCGTAACATGCCTCTTTTCATTGGCTTGGTATTTTAATCAGATGTAGACAAAATGACGCAACTAGCATAATCAATTACTAGACCTTCTATTTCGGTTCTTTGAAATCTTCCATTTGTTCAAGCTTCGTAGGCTTCTCTAACAAAGGCAGTGTAGAAATATCGGTCTAAAAATGAAATTTCTGACTGCTCGTGTAAAGTTGACTATAACAGGTGTTCCTTAACTCCCTTAGTCCATCTTTACCTAAACTCTTTATTTAGATAAATTTGATTTAATTTGTCATTTTCTGGCTAGATGAATCCATAAAGCCGGGGCATTTAACCAATTGCTCTAGAGGGACAGCTCAATCTTATAATCACCTTTATCAGGCTAGCTGAATCTTATCTATAAAGCCGAGACGTTTAACCAATTGCTTTAGAGGGACAACTCAAGCTTTATTGTATAGATATTATAATCACCTTTATCAGGCTAGCTGAATGTTATCCATAAAGCCGG